CAAAGACCCTGCGTGGGTGTCCCAGAGCCCCTGCAACAAAGAACTGCAGACTGGCTTAAACCCACAAAAATGGATCCGCATGCTTCTGGAGGCCAGAAGGCCAAAACCAGGGCGTTGCAGGGCTGCACCCGCCCCGAAGGTTCTAGCAGAAGAGGCTCCCTCCTCACCTCTTCTGGCTCCCGGGGCCTCCGCAATCCTTGGCATTCCTGGGCTGGTGGCAGCCTCACTCCAACCTCTGCCTACGCCTTCCCAGGGTCTCTCCCTGTGTGTGTCTGTATTCAAACTTTCCTCTTCTCACAAGGACACCAGTCACTGAATTTAGCATCCACACTTCTCCAGTATACATCCCCTTACCCTAGCTAATCACACTGCAAAGACCCTATTTCCAAATAAGCACACATTCTAAGGTTCCAGGTGAGCATGAACGTGGTGGGACACCGTTCACCCCAACACAGGCAGCTGATCCCCACACCAGCCTTTCTGCAACCTCGGCCCCTTCTAACCACAAACGGAGGTGTGCAGTTCTCCCGTCCGTGCGCCACCTGTTTCTCTGTATCGCGGATGAGGACGGAGGGACCTTCTCCACTTCATCTCTCCGTTTGCACCTTTTGGGCTTAGTACCATGTGCACGTGCTTCCTGTACAAAAATAAATTCAAAAAATCTCCTGGAGCTCCATGTGGTTCACTGAAATTCCTGCCCGGGATCTCATCTGATGGCTGGGCTGTCATTTATTTAATAAGTGCCTTCCTGATGGCCATGGGGGTCACCCGCAATCTTTTGCTAAAGCAAACAAGTCTGCCACCAGGATCCCCGCACATGCATTCGTGCCTATGTGCCCGTCCAGCTGCGGGACAAACTGAAAGTGGAAGTGCAATTGGTACAATAGCTCAAAGAACACGTGTCTATTTGTCTCGGACATGACCTCGAACCTTGGCTCCCACGGGGCAGCGCAGAAAGAAGTCTGCTCCTCCCAGCCCTGCCCCAGGCCCACTCCCCACCCAGCACACAGGGAAACCGAGGCTGCTTTGACTTCGCCTCTTCCAGCCCTGGGTCCAGCCTTCGCTGTGACCCCAGTCCATCCTGCCATCCTCTGCACCTCTTCCTCCCTCAGGCAAATATATCGAGAACCACGGGGTGGTTCACAACATGTACTACAACACCACCAGCAAGGTGAAGCTGCCCTACCATGCCACGCTGGGCATCCAGAGGTGGTGGGACAATGGCAGCGTGCCCATCTGGATCACGGCCCAGAGGCAGGTAATGTCACCCCCACCCATACTGACATTGCAGAGCATGGGGGCACCTAGGCCCAGGCGAGGCTTGGAACCATGTGAGATCCACGGCAGGTCCCTTCCCCACTCCAGGGTCTCGGGGCTCCTGGCCTACCCTGGCACAGAAGAGTGTGAAGTAGGGCCCCAGAATGGGCAGGTGGTGGGTGCTGGTGAGGACTAACCAGTGAGCTATGTCCGTCTCGGCCCATGGACACAGCCCTGCCCGGTCCTCCCTGGGTGGCCCTGGGAGCAGGAGGGATTGCTCTGTCCCCCTAGTCAAAGGGAGAACTGCACCCTTGGGCCCTGCAGCATTGGGGGTGAGGGTCAGGCTGGGAAGATCATTGTGACTCAACAAGAAAGCATTTAACAATTACACGACTTTCTCCCTTTCCCACATCCCTGTCAGAGCTGAACAGCTAAATTCTAAGGGGTCAAAGATAAAATGAGAGGTGGGTTACGGTATTGACCCAGGACTGTCTCCCACCCAGTTTGCAATGCTCTGGGGGCTTCCTGGCCCAGAGGCGAGGCTTCCAGTAAACAAAGTCAGTGGAGGTTTCTAAGGTGAGGCTGGAATAAATGTCAGAGCCCATGCCCACCCCAGAGCCAAGGTATCCACTCAAGCCGGAGTTCCCTCGCTCCAGAAGGATCCATAGACATACTCAGGGCTCCTTCCACAGGCTTGCAAGCAGGAAGCCAAGGTAGAGACCCTGGCATCTCAAGGCGCTTGATCCAATGAAAGAATATCCTGGGGGAGTGGATGGGCAGGTGGGGTGGACAGAGGGCTGGGGGGACAGACAAATTCTAAATAAAGCAGCAGTCGAGTTAGGGGCAGACAGGCGGCCAGGCAGAAGGCTGGAGGGGCAGGTGGACGGGACACAGGTGGACAGACAGACAGACTCATGCCCGGACCAGAGCCCAGCAGGGCAGGCCAGACTTCAGTTCAGAAGGAGATGCTTTCTGGGCAGTGTGGCCTCGAGGCAGGCATCATAGCCCAGTGATGAGGCAGACACTGCGTATCTACGAACATTTTTACCCTGATGTCTCGTTTAGTGCTCAAGTCCAGTGGGCACCTGTCGTTTCCTCTATAAAATCAGGTTTTACCCCCCATAGAGCATGAGATCAGGGATGTTTTAGAAATTGAAGGCCCCGTAGCTGCAGCGAGGAGCAGGGATGGGTGGGTGGAACAGAGAAGGAGGCAGGTGGGGGACAAATGTGTTCACAGGCATGGGATGAGGGGCGCCCACTGAGGAGTCCTGTCCTTCACGCTGCCTTGTCTGGCAGGGTCTGAGGGCTGGCTCCTTCTTCTACCCGGGCGGGAACGTCACCTACCAAGGGGTGGCCGTGACGCGGAGCCGGAAGGAAGGCATCGCGCACAACTACAAAAATGAGACGGAGTGGAGAGCGAACATCGACACGGTGATGGCGTGGTTCACGGAGGAGGACCTGGATCTGGTCACACTCTACTTCGGGGAGCCAGACTCCACGGGCCACAAGTACGGCCCCGAGTCCCCGGAGAGGAGGGAGATGGTGCGGCAGGTGGATCGGACCGTGGGCTACCTGCGGGAAAGCATTGCTCGCAACCACCTCACAGACCACCTCAACCTGATCATCACATCCGACCACGGCATGACGACCGTGGACAAGCAGGCTGGCGACCTGGTCGAATTCCACAAGTTCCCCAACTTCACCTTCCAGGACATCAAGTTTGAGCTCCTGGACTACGGACCAAACGGGATGCTGCTCCCTAAAGAAGGGAGGCTGGAGAAGGTGTACAATGCGCTCAAGGATGCCCACCCCAAGCTCCACGTCTACAAGAAGGAGGAGTTCCCCGAGGCCTTCCATTACGCCAACAACCCCAGAGTCACACCCCTGCTGATGTACAGCGACCTTGGCTACGTCATCCACGGGGTGAGTCGCCTGCTGGAGGCACCACCTCTGGGGGCTCCCTCCCCGGGCTCTGGGTCTCCTTTTTTTGTTTGTTTTTTGTTTTGTTTTGTTTTGTTTTGTTTTGAGATAGAGTCTTGCTCTGTTGCCCAGGCTGGAGTGCAATGGCAGGATCTCAGCTCACTGCAGCCTTAAACTCCCAGGCTCAAGCGATCCTTCCACCTCAGCCTCCTGAGTAGCTGAGACCACAGGTGCATGCCACCATGCCTGGCTTGTGTGCGTTTTGTTTTGTTTTGTTTGGTTTCGTTTGAGACAGAGTTTCACTCTTGTCATCCAGGCTGGAGTGCAGTGGTACGACCTCAGCTCACTGCAACCTCCACCTCCCGGGTTCAAGCGATTCTCCTGCCTCAGCCTCCTGAGTAGCTGGGATTACAGACGCCTGCCACCATGCCTAATTTTTTGTGTTTTTAGTAGAGACAGGGTTTCACCATGTTGGCCAGGCTGGTCTCAAACTCCTGGCCTCAGGTGATCCACCCACCTCGGCCTTCCAAAGTTCTGGGATTACAGGTGTGAGCCACCACACCTGGCTGATTTTTGTATTTTTTGTAGAGACAGGGTTTTGCATATTGCCCAGGCTGGTCTCAAACCCCTGAGCTGAAGCGATCCTCCTGCCTTGGCCTCCCAAAGTGCTGAAATTACAGGGGTGAGCCACTGCGTCTGGCCTCTCCTTCCATCTCTATAGAGGCACTCCCTATTTCCAGCTGGCCCCCAGTCTGAGGAGCGTCAGCACTGAAGGGACACACCCTTCACGATGCAGTAGTGTGTGTGTGCACATCTGTGTGTGCACATCTGTGTGTGCCCCCCACATTCAGGCACCAGGCAGTAGGAGTGTGTGTGCACAACTGTACCTGTCACGTCCGAGCACTGTGTGATAGGCATGTGTGTGTGCCCTACATGTCCAGGGTAAAGTGTAGGAGTCCAGCCCCAAGGGTGACAGGGAGGAGGCAGGAAAGAGGCAGGAGCCCAACCTCCCCTCAGCAGAGAGCACAGTTGTGCTGAGCCAGAAGCAAAGCACAGATTGGGGAGCAGACATCCCCGGAAAGGAAGTGACCGATGGGAGCCAGCGTTCACCACCACCCAGGAGGCAGGGCCCGCAGCCTGGAGCTGCTCGCTCCACTCCCATTTACTCAGGGTCTGGTCTCCGTTCATTTAACTGGACCGTCCCTGAACTTCACTCTGTAGGGTGACTGATCTCCAGACGCTGAGAATTCAGGGAAACTGAGTCTTGGAACCCCTCCAGCCCCCATATTGGTGCTCCTTCCTAAGGGGAAGGGGGCGTTCGTAGGGTGGATAGGGTAGGTGGAGAGGGTCTCTTGCTCCCAGCAAGGACCCAGGACCCTTTACCACTCCCCGGCAGAGAGTTAACGTCCAGTTCAACAATGGGGAGCACGGCTTTGACAACAAAGACATGGACATGAAGACCATCTTCCGCGCTGTGGGCCCCAGCTTCAAGGCGGGCCTGGAGGTGGAGCCCTTTGAGAGCGTCCACGTGTACGAGCTCATGTGCCGGCTGCTGGGCATTGTGCCCGAGGCCAACGATGGGGACCCGGCTACCCTGCTGCCTATGCTGCACACAGGTGAGGGCAGGGTGCTCCAAATCCCGGCCTGCTCGGTGTGCACAGGTGTGCACACGTGGGTGCCTGCGTGCCTGTGACCAGGATACGCCTCAAACCCTGAGTGGGGCTGCCTCCCCTGGCTTTGGGGAACACCGGAATCCCTCACATTCCCACAACACGTGACCTCTCAGGAGCACCTCATGCATCTTGGGCAGCACAAGAGGGCGAGCGGCAGGAGTGGGCAGCCTTGCTCAAGAAGGGGACGGAGGTGGCCTTCAAAGCAAGGGTGGCCCAGGCGGGCCTGCTGTGCAGAGCCCACCTCCTGGCTGCTGGATCCCCACTCCCCACTCCCCACCACGGCAACCTGAGGGCCTCCTTTCTAGAATCTTCCTGTATCAGCCTCCCACGCACACACACCTCCCCACCTGAACCTGACCCATCCTGGGGACAAAGGTCACCTGGAAACTGACAAGGTGGCGACCCTGGTGGGGGCCTGGCTGGAGAGGGCTGGGCCCTCCAGAGCAGGGCTGTGAAGTGCCATGGTGGACAAGGGCCATGGGACCAAGGCGGCGGTGAAAGAGGAAGTGGGGGGCTCGTGGGGACCACCAGAGGACCCTGAGTCTACTGTGGGGGAGCTGGGGTGAGGAGCCATCCCTCTCTCCCTCACGGGTCCTCTGGCTTTCCTTAGAGTCTGCTCTTCCGCCTGACGGAAGGCCTGCTCTCCCGCTCAACGGAAAGTCTGCTGTCCTGCCCAGCAGTTGGGCCCTCGTTGTGATGGGACTGCTGGGGACCATGATTCTTCTGTCTGAGGTCGCATAACGCCCCATGGCTCAAGGTCAGAGACCCAGAAAGCAGAGGCGGGAGGGTGGCCCCACGCTCCCTGGCCCTCCACCCTGATGTCCGGCTACAGTCCTAGGCAGCCAGAACTGAGCTGCCAGGCCCCACCAAGTGGGTGACTCCCACTAACCTGGCTGCCACAGAGAGGCGACCGATCACCCCTGAGATCCCGCGGCTGACCCTTCCAGCCTCTCTGCTCTGGGCTTGGAGGAGGTCTTTCCAGAGCAGACCACCCGGACCAGTGACCAGAATTCCCACCCTCCCCCAAAAGCCAGAACTCCCTCAGCCTCTGGCCAGAGCTGCTGCCTCCCCTCCTTCTTGCCATCTCTGGGCTCCACTCTGGGGATAGCTCGGAAACCGTCGTGTGGGGTGCGTTTGGGAGGATAGCTCTGGGGCTGTGTTCCTGGAACTCTCCGGGAGCCTCCTAGGACACGCGTGGGGTGTGTTTGGGAGGACAGCTCCAGGGCTATATTCCTGGAACTCTCTGGAAGCCTACCTCCGAGGATATGCGTGGGGTGCATTTGGGAGGAGAGCTCCGGGGCTGTGTTCCTGGAACTCTCTGGAAGCCTCTGAGGACAGTGCTCCCTTGTCTGTCTGTGCAGCCACAGCCTCCTAGACCAAGCAGAAGAAAGTCATTCATTCATCCCAAAAATATGTAACGGGAGCCAGCTCCATGCCAGGCTCTGGTGGGCTCAGGATACAAAACAGTCGAACAAGACAGTCCAGGCCCTGGAGTCTGGAACCTGTCATTTAAAGGCACAAGAAAGCAGAGGATACAAAAGCCAATGAATCCATGGGCAGAGTGCTCAGATGCTGGTGATGGCGGAGAAGAGACAGCTACAGGCAGCGGCGAGGCAGGCACTACCTTTTCATTTGCCCAGCGTGGAATGGCCTCTCTGAGAAGGTGGATTTAGGGAGAGATCAGAATGACAAGAAGCCAGACATGCCAGGCTCTGGGAAAGAGATTCCAGGCAGGGGAAAGAGCCAGGGACAGGCCCCACGGTGGGACAGGTTCGGCGTGTTTTGGATGAGACAGAAGGCCAGTGTGCTTGCAGGCTGGCACAGAGCGAGGCTCTAACAGGAGCTGACCACAGCCCCAAGGCAGGAGGTTGCTGGATACACAGCGGGGAGCCCCAAGCTGAGGTCACACCGGGTCTGAGGTTGACGATTAAACGAGTGGGTCTCACTGCTGGGCCAGGGACAGAAAGGGGAGCAGGAAGTGGCCAGTTTGGAGGTTGCTGCAGGGCCCAGCAGGACATTCCAGTGGCAAGGGTAGAGAAGCTGCAATGTGCACAGATTCCAAATACCTTTAAGAGGCACGACATTCGAGGTTTGTGGACAGATTATGCGGGAGGGTGAAGAAAGTAGAAAAATGAAGGATGGGTCCAATGCTTGGGTCTTGAGCCACTTGCTGACATGCTAAAATGTTGGGGACAGGAGTCGGGGAGGCTGAGACTTGCTTCGGCCGTGATCAGTCTCAATGCTGGTGATGCGGCCATGTGCAGCTGTTCCTGGGCACACGTTGTGCAGATGAGTCCATACCCAGGGATGCAGTTTAGTCTGGCAATTTAAATTTGAGACTTGTCAACACAAGCTATGGGACTCAATGAAAGCCCCCAGCCAGAAGGAGTGGACTGAGAAGAGATGGTGACCACACCACTCACTGAGAAGGCGGGGCTGGTGAGACAGGAAACGCCAAGAGCTTTTCATGAATCAAGAGGGGAATGAGACTGGGCAAAATGGTTTCCACCTGGAATCCCAGTACTTCCAGAGGCCGAGGCAGGAGGATCGCTTGAGCCCAGGAGTTCAAGACCAGCCTGGGCAATATAGTTAGACCCTGTCTCTGTAGGAAAATTTTTTTTAATTAGCTAGGCATGGTGCTGCATGCCTATAATCCCAGCTACTCAGGGGGAGACTGAGGTGGGAGGATCGCTGGAGCCTGGGAGGTGGAGGCTGCAGTGAGCCTTGTTCTTGCCACTGCACTCCAGCATGGGCAAGAGTGAGACCCTGTCTCTACAAAAATAAATAAATGAAAGAGAAAGGAGCAGGTTTAGGGTTTAGAGAAGCAGGAATGTGGAGATGTATGTGGTGGAGAGGACCATGCATGCCAAATGTCACATCCGGAAGGGGAACAAAGGACCCTTCAGCCCAAACCCCTCCTGCAGATGACGGAGCCCAGAGGCGTTAGCTGACTGGTCCAAGGGTGCCAAAGAGTGGCCGGTGGTGTGTCAATGCCAGTTTTAAGGTCCTGGTCCCGAGTACTTTCAGCCACAACGCCTGCCTCTCTGTGCTCAGGGGCTTGGGTCCTTGAAGCAAGTCTTCCAGCGCTAGGCAGGGACATGATAAGGTTTCCATGGCGCCAGAGTCCACAACCATTTGTTCTCCACATTAACCAAGAGAGGGACTCAGAAAACGTCATTATTCAGACTCACACACAAGGAAATTGAAGCACGGAAAATCGAAGACCACGTGACTCTGCACATTCTCACAGGGCTTTTCCCCAGAGGAGCAGTCACAGCGGCGTCCCAGCAAACCGGCTCTCCAGATACCCCTCAAAAAGCCCTGATGTTGGCCCTTACCCATTTCTGTGGCATCAGTACTCCCACCGTGGCCCATTTTGAGCTACCAAAGTGAGGTCACTGAACACAAAGTAGGGAAGAAGCCTGCAGAATCATCTTTCGCAAGCAGCATCTGCTGGGCTGTGCAGGTGGCTAAGAGCTGGGGGGTCCGAAGTTTTCATCACAGCCTGGTAAATTCCATTTGGAACTAGGCTGTTTTCTGTGGCCAGCTTCTTTTCTTTTACACAGATTCTCACTGTGTGGCCCAGGATGGGGTACAGTGATGCAATCACGGCTCACTGCAGCCTCGACCTCCTGGGCTCAAGCAATCCTCCCACCTCAGCCTCCTGAGTAGCTGAGACTACAGGTGTGCACCACCATGCCCAATTAATTTTTAAATTTTTAATTCTTCTTTAAAAAAGCAAGCTATGTTGCCCAGGCTGGTCTCGAACTCCTGGCCTCAAGCGATCCTCCGGCCTTGGCCTCCCAAAGAGCTGGGATTACAGGCATGAGTCACTGGGCCCAGTTCCTGGGCCCCTTTCTTTTCTTTAAAGGTGATGTTGAAAGTACATGTGGCCAGTTAAGGGCACATTGTGGAATGGACGCAGTCCTTGCCCTGACTTTACAGCGTCCTCCTTCTCCAGCCAGAAAAGCAGACAGAAGACTAGGGGAAGCTCTTCCGCCTCCTGGGATCCGCACACTGCCAGCCAGGCCTGGGACAGTGCTCACCCCTCTCCTCCCAGCCCTGGGAGAAGGGTCTGAAGCCTCACATCATCACGCCACCCCCATGTCCACATCTGCCGCGCACCTGTGCCCTCCCAGGAATCCCCACACAGGCCCTTCTCCGCGCAGTCTGGCAGCGCTGCCCGCTTCCACTGCCTGCCGCCCCACCGCCCCCACCGGCCCCCCAGCCTGTTTCCCACGATCCCTCCCTCCCAGTCCAATCGCACCTCTGCTTCACCTGTCCCATCAGACCTGCCCTCAGCCTGCCCCATCCTCTCCTCCCAGGCCAACTCGTGCTGTTTGCTGTTCCAGGAAGCCTCCGGGAGCTGCCCGTAGGCCCCGGGCCGGCTGTCTCGCTGTGATGCTCTGCTGGTGGCGGACGGACCCTGCCTCCCCAGCTTATCCCAGGCCAGAGGCTGCATGCCACTGTCCCCGGCAGCACCAGCCCCTGCTTGGCTGTTATGGCGCTGGTAATAAGCCCCGCAGCCCAGGTCCAGGACCTCCGGCGCGCAGGTCCCATAACCGGCCCCCGGCCCCTGCCCCTCCCACTCGGGCCCCTCCTCCTGCAAACCCCGCTCCCGAAGCGGTGCTGCCGTCTGCGGCCACGCGGGGGCACGCGGGAGCTCTGCGGGCGCGGGGACCTGCAGACCCGGCCTCGGTCACCTGGGAGGGGCCCGCCCCGGCACAAAGCACCTGTGGGAATAAAGGCCAAGCCGCGACAGTCAGCACAGGGGAGCCTCTTCCCTAAAGCCTGCTGGTTTCCCGACGGTCCCACCACTGGCCCCAGCGCGGGATAAATCTCTAACTCCTTGCCAGGCTTCACAAGCCCCAGGGACCCCTCCATTCTCGTTAGGGGTGGGCCCTGGTTGGACGGCTGCCCAGTCCTGGAAAAGGGGTGAGTTTCCTAAAAGGAAGGGGGGAAGGCATGAGGAGGCTTTTTTGAACGACAAGGGAAGCAGCATCTGTAAGCCACAGTGCTCAGCAAGAAATCACGTTAAACAAGGCGGAAACACCGCAAAGAAAGTCGCGCGGATTGGCTCCGACACGGGACGGGGGTGGCCGTGGCCAGGAGCCGAGAGACCCTTCGGTTAAGAGCACAAGCTTTGGAGTCAGATCAACTCATGTTCCAGCCCTGGCCCCCCACCAAATGCTGTGGCATTGGCAAAGCAGTTGACCCTCCCCAGCCTCAGTTTCCTCATCTGAAAAAGGGAGATAATGAGGACCATGCCCACCTCCCTGGGGTACCTGAGAGTGAGGTGGGCACATTGCGGGGAGGTTGGCACAGAGGCTGGCCCCAAGCAGGTGCTCAAGAATGGCAGCCCCTGGGAGGATTAAAATCCTGCCCTGGGAGGTGCTGGGTTTGTCAGTGCCACTCCGCAGAGTAAACCAGCTGGGACGCTGGGAGACACAGGCTTTGAAGTCTGAGTTTGTCAGATCTGCCTATTTCCCTGCCTCCAAAGCCTGTGGCCCCCCCAGCCCCCACCCCCACCCGGGGTCTCCTGCCTCTGCCTGTGGCTTCAGCTCCATGGAATCTCCAGGGCCCATCCCAGCCTGCTCTCCGCAGCAGCCTGACCGGAAGCCCTGCCTCAGCCTGAAGAGCCTGGACTTTGGTCTGGCCTGTGGGCCCCCTGGCCCACGATCCAATTGCTCTTCCTAGAAGGACTGCCCCGGTCCCCATGCCAGTGCCTGCAGCCACACCCCATGACACCCAGGCCAGCCACCCACCTGCACAAGCTCTGGCTTTGTGGCTGGGCCGGGGTTAGAGGCGGGGGACCCTCCCTGGACGGACCCAATTCCAGTCTCAGCCGGCCTGAGCCTGCCCCCCGCCCAGCCAGAGGAGACCAGGTAGAGTCCACATCCACGTCCTCGGAGTGATGAGCACTCACGGGTGCCGGCGTTGCCACTGCCCGGTCTCCAAGAGAAGCCCCGCCTTCCTCTGAGCCCCCCGACCACCACCACCACGTTTGCTCAGCCCTGTTCGTCAGCATGGCAGGGGTTAGGCCAACAGGAGCTGTGAGAATTGCTTCATCCACAGAAGAAGAAAAGAAACAGAGAGGAGAAAGAGAGGAGAGAGAGGAAAATAACCAAGTCTGTCTCACATTCAGTATTCCATTACCCCAGATGTCTGGTGTCACAAAGGCACCGAGAGTCCTGGTGGCTGACCGAGCACTCGCTGATGGAGCTTCGGGGGTCAGGAGCAGGGGGCTGAGGCCTGGCTGCATGCACGGGGGGGCTGATTTTCCTATCTGTGCAGCCCTGGGTGTCAAATGTCAGGGGTGCCGCCCTGAGCAGCACAGTCCTGGTTCAAATCCAGCTCCCCGTCTCCAACACCTGCTCTGTGGTCCTGGGCAAGTTGCTAACCTCTCTGGGCCTGTCCTCCTCTGTAAATCCAGGACCAGTGGCAGGACCTATCTCATAGGGTGGTCTCAGTGATAACATGAGTTAATATTCACAAACAGCTGTGGATAGGGCCTGGTACATGGAAGGCCTGGGTATTAGGAAGAGACAGGGCGGCAATTACCTTGTATCAAATCGTGAGAATGTCATTCACTCTTTTAGACCCACCTCCAAGCCTTCTTGCTTCTCTAGCAGAACGTTTCTGGTCCATGAACCCCACCCCTAACAGGTGTCTTCTGTGACATGAAGAGAGGCACCAGACTCAGAGCTCTGGCAGCCAAGCAACAGCATAGGATGGATGGTTGCCACAGCTTGATTTGCCTTGTATTTGTTTCTATAATCACCTTCAATTTTTGGTTAGTGCTACTTATTTTTCATTGACATCTGTTTTTTCTTTTTCCTTTTTAAAATTAACTTAAGCGATTTTTTTTTTTTTTTTTTTTTTTTTTACAGTTTCGCTCTTGTTACCCAGGCTGGAGTGCAAAGGCGCGATCTTGGCTTGCTGCAACCTCCGCCTCCGGGTTCAAGCAATTCTCCTGCCTCAGCCTCCCGAGTAGCTGGGATTACAGGC